ACACTTTTCTGGGTGCTCGGAATTATTTCTGGGGTGTTGTCCTTAAGTGGGATGGGAACACCATAACTCTACAGGAGGAGTGTTCAAAAATAGTCAGACGCAAATCGTATGGGGACGATGTTGTTACCATTTTGGATTGTTGTGGGGCGGATGTTGGGTGTATCTAGTTTTAAATTGTTCGCCCAGAATCCGCATGTAGGGGGACACGCCCGACACACAACAGGAGGGGGGAGTCGGGCGTTTTGCCATGTGGGGGCGGGGCGGCAACTTGGGAAGGGGGGGGGAGCGGGGGGATCGAGGCCTGCAGACACGGGACCCCCTCGGGCCCCGAGGGCGAACGAAGCGTGCACCCGTCTTCCCCCCCCCCCCCCCTTCGGCGGTCAGTCGCCCCCCCCAGGGGTCTGCGCCCGAGCCCTGCCTCCTTGCCCCTGGCCTCCCCTGGATCTGTCGGGATTTGGGGCTCACGGGGACGAACGAACGAACTGCCATACGCCGGAGCGCGTGGGCAAAAGACAATGCCAGCCTGAACTCGCCGCTTTGCGGGAGCGACTGCACGTCGGCTGTCTCATAATGCACAGCGTGCGCGATTGGAGGAGGAGGAGGAGGAGCAGCAGCAGCAGCAGCAGCAGCAGGAGGGGAGGGAGGAGGAGCGAGAAAGGAGGGACGGCATAGTGTACATAAGCTCCTGGCATCCTCAGCTCCTATACATAACAGACGTGTTTGTTCCGACCTCAGCATCCCAGTGGCTTCGTTCAGATGTGAAGTCGGGCGTGTCCCTCCACAGGATGAAGATTCAAACGTAGTCAAACCATAGCCTGGGGACAATTGTTTGATTATTTCTTTGGTCATGTTGGAGCACTGTGAGGGTATCTTTACTATTTCGTCCAAAGTCCGCCTGTAGGGGACATGCCCGACCTAAGTCAAGTGTTCCCTGCCACTGAAAACCAGCCAACACGAAGAGCTCCGCAGCACACCTGTTCCACGGCAAGTGGCTTCCCGGGGGGGGCAGCCAGACATGTCACTCGCCTTCTCACCCTCGGCACGCGGGGTTCGGCGGATCCAGCCCTCCTCACCGTTTCCTCTGTCTTCCCTCCCCACCCCCTCTCTCTCCTTCTCCTCCTGGACCTTTTCCAGCTGCCGCCCCTCCTCGTCTCCTGACCCTCTCCCCCTCCCCCTCCCCCGCGTTAAAGGCTGGCTGCTTGTGCTGTCAGGCCCATTTCATGTGTGAGCCATCCACGAGCTGCGGCGCTTGCAGGGCAGTCGGAGGTCTCACTCTGCGGGGCGTCTGCTCTCATCTACGCCTGGCGCTCTTTCCGCGTTTCCTGAACCAACGTCGAAAGAGACTGGAAGCGTCCACGGTGCTCTTAGCTCATCGTATGACTCTTATGTCCCCCCTCCGTCCTCCCCCCAGGAAACAGTGGCATGAGCATACGAGGTCCGCGCAGATTTCTTGGATCGGCGCCGAAGGCGCCACCAGGGGGCGCCAGCGCCGATCCGGGGGCAACTGGCGCGGGCCTCCGAAAGCTTGTGCTCATGCCACTGCGTGCTCCTCCTCCTCCTCCTCCTCCTCCTGCTCCTCCTCCTCCTGCTCCTCCTCCTCCTCCTCCTCCTCCTCCTCCTCCTCCTCCTCCTCCTCCTCCCTCCTCCCTCCTCCCTCCTCCCTCCTCCTCCTCCCTCCTCCCTCCTCCCTCCTTGCTCCTCCCTCCCTCCTCCCTCCTCCCTCCTCCCTCCTCCGCACCCCTCTCGGCCGAGGCCCTCCTGGCCCAGGCAGGCTTCTGCACGGCTGGCTCCCGTGGGAGCGGCCCGCCGCGCACACGCACCCTCCCATACCAACATAGGCCGGCGGCGCGGGCGTGCGGGAGCGGCGCGCCCAAGGCGGGGGCCTCCTCCTCCTCCTTCTCCTCCTCCTCCTGCTCCTCCTCCTCCTCCTGCTCCTCCTCGTCCTCCTCCCGTCCTCGTCCTCCCCGCTTTCTCCTCCTCCTCCTCCTCCTCCGCCTCCTCCTCCCTTCTCGTCTCCTCTTCCTCCTCCTGTTCGTCCTCCTCCTCCTCCTCCATCTTCTCTTCCTCCTCCTCCTCCTCCTCCTCCTCCTCTTCCTCCTCCTCCTCCTCCTCCTCCTCCTCCTCCTCCTCTTGAGGGAGGCCACCCTTCCCGAGGGGCCCTCCCCCAGCCTCTAAGCTCTGGGCCTCCCAAGCGAGGCCCGAGGAGATGGGCTCGGAGGGCGCGGCAAGGTCGGTTGTTGGGGGCAGTTTGCGGCGGTCTCCGAAAGGTTCTGCAACCCAGGGTGGTTTCCATCAGTTGCGCCTGGCCGAGGGCGTTCCGGGGGTGTGCCCGCATCGTCCCGAAGGGCCTCCGTGGAGCCGAGCGACGTTCCGAAGACCAGCGGGTCCCCAAATTGTGGGGGATCCTCTAGGACTCCCAGATGGGGGGTCCGAGTCGATGGGGCCAGGGGATCGCTCCGCATCGCCGATGCATCGGCGATGCGGCTCGACGTGGGGCCCGATTTTCTCCACGCTGACGTCGCCGATGCAGCGCCGACATCGCTGATGCGTCGGCGATGCGGTACGATCCTCCGACCCCATCTGCTCGGACCCCCGTGTGGAAGGCCTCCACATGCAGCCTTCTTGCAAACCCCCGAGCCCTTCGGCTGGACGGGGCCAGGACGAGGGTAGATATGTTCCAGAGCGTTCCAGAACGCGTTGAGAGCATTCCGCAACGCTCTGCCGCGGCGACCGAGACATTCTCCAGACCCGCCGGATCCTAGATATTCTCGATTTATTCGGGGGTTGCGTCATGGGGGAGGGGCGATAAGGGGGGGGGGGGCAGCGAGGGCTGCCGAAAAGGAGCACTTCAGGGCCCTTAAAGGGGCACTTCAGGGCCGCAAAGGGGGCCCTTCGGGGGCGGGAAAAGGGCACCCTTCTCCCCCCCACCACTTATCTCGAGAGTGGACAGAACCCCCACCCTGACACGTCGATTAGCGAATCTTCCGTTTTTGGTTCTCGAAAGGGCGCCGCGACCGTTATTTCCCAACCATCCTGTGGTGTTGGGTCCTCGTTTTGAAGAGACGGTGCCCCGCGTTCCTCTCCTCTCCTCCTCTTCCCCCTCCTCCCTCGTGCCCGCGCCCGCATGCGTCAGCCACACCCATGTCGGCAACACCCCTCACACCTCCGTGGCCTCATGGGAACCGCCAACGAAGTGGCCCAAGTCCCGCGGCCCGCATGCGCCGCCACACCCTGCGGCACAGACACCCCTCACACGCGATCGTTGGCTCCATAGGGAGCTCCACCGAAGGCCCGAGTGCCCAGCGCCCGCATGCGTTCAAGCCACACCCATTTCGTTTCGGCACACCCCTCACACGTTTCGTGGCCCCATAGGGAGCTCCACCGGAGGCCCCAGTGCCCGCGCCCGCATGCGTCACCCACACCCATTTCGGCACACCCCTCACACGTTTCGTGGCTCCATAGGGAGCTCCACCGAAAGCCCCAGTGCCCGCGCCCGCATGCGTCACCCACACCCATTTCGGCACACCCCTCACACGTTTCGTGGCTCCATAGGGAGCTCCACCGAAGGCCCCATTGCCCGCGCCCGCATGCGTCACCCACACCCATGTCGGCACACCCCTCACACGTTTCGTGGCTCCATAGGGAGCTCCGCCGAAGGCCCCAGTGCCCTCGCCCGCATGCGTCACCCACACCCATTTCGGCACACCCCTCACACGCTTCGTGGCTCCATAGGGAGCTCCACCGAAGGCCCCAGTGCCCGCGCCCGCATGCGTCACCCACACCCATTTCGGCACACCCCTCACACGTTTCGTGGCTCCATAGGGAGCTCCACCGAAGGCCCCAGTGCCAGCGCCCGCATGCGTCACCCACACCCATTTCGGCACACCCCTCGCACGCTTCGTGGCTCCATAGGGAGCTCCACCGAAGGCCCCAGTGCCCGCGCCCGCATGCGTCACCCACACCCATTTCGGCACACCCCTCACACGTTTTGTGGTTCCATAGGGAGCTCCACCGAAGGCCCCAGTGCCCGCGCCCGCATGCGTCAGCCACACCCATTTCGGCACACCCCTCACACGTTTCGGTGGCTCCATAGGGAGCTCCACCGAAGGCCCCAGTGCCCGCGGCCGCATGCGTCCCCCACACCCATTTCGGCACACCCCTCACACGTTTCGTGGCTCCAGATGGAGCTCCACCGAAGGCCCCAGTGCCCGCGGCCGCATGCGTCCCCCACACCCATTTCGGCACACCCCTCACACGCTTCGTGGCTCCATAGGGAGCTCCACCGAAGTCCCCAGTGCCCGCGGCCGCATGCGTCCCCCACACCCATTTCGGCACAACCCACACACGTTCGTGTCTCCATATGGGCTCCACCGAAGGCCACATGCCCCGCCCGCATGCGTCCAGCCACACACCCATTTCGGCACAACCCCTCACACGTTTCGTGCTCATAGGGAGCTCCACCGAAGGCCCCAGTGCCCGCGCCCGCATGCGTCAGCCACACACAATTTCGGCACACTCTATCACACCGTTTCGTGGCCCATGGGGCGCTCCACCGAAGGCCCCCAGTGCCCGCGCCCCCGCGCCCGAAAATGCGCCAGTCACACCCCATTTTTCGGCACACCCTCACACACGTTTCGTGCTCCATAGGGAGCTCCACCGAAGGCCCCAGTGCCCACGCCCGCATGCGTCACCCACACCCATTTCGGCACACCCCTCACACGTTTCGTGGCTCCATAGGGAGCTCCGCCGAAGGCCCCAGTGCCCGCGCCCGCATGCGTCACCCACACCCATTTCGGCACACCCCTCACACGTTTCGTGGCTCCATATGGAGCTCCACCGAAGGCCCCACTGCCCGCGCCCGCATGCGTCAGCCACACCCATTTCGGCACACCCCTCGCACGCTTCGTGGTCCCATAGGGAGCACCACCGAAGGCCCCAGTGCCCGCGCCCGCATGCGTCAGCCACACCCATTTCGGCACACCCCTCAAAGGCTTCGTGGTCCCATAGGGAGCTCCACCGAAGGCCCCAGTGCCCGCGCCCGCATGCGTCAGCCACACCCATTTGGTCAACTCCCTCACACGTTTCGTGGCCCCATAGGGAGCTCCACCGAAGGCCCCAGTGCTGCCGCCCGCATGCGTCCCGCACACCCATCCCCTTCACACGTTTCGTGGCCCTATAGGGAGCCCCACCGAAATTGGTAGTGTCAACTGCGGTATTCACACCTGCACATGGTTGGGTCCTTCGTCAGGCTAATTCTTAGGCTTGCGTTTGTTGGGTGTTGGTTTGAGGTTGTTCTTAGTAAACCATGTTTCGCTCACGGGGTCCCTGCCCATCCCCGCTTATCTTACCGCCCCCCCCCCCGTCACTCGCGCCCAATTCATCCTCACCCGAACTTCTCTTCGCCCTGGCCTCGCCTTGGTCGGAGGCCCCCGCCCCGTCGCCCGCCCCCCCGCGTGCGCGCGCCGCCACGCGCGGCAGGTTCGTGCCGCCCCGGCGCGGCGGCGACCCCAGCGCGGGCGTGCAAGGTGGAAGAACGCCGCCAGGACTCCACCTCAATCTCCTCCTCCTCCTCCTCCTCCTCCTCCTCCTCCTCCTCCTCCTCCTCCTCCTCCTCCCCCTCCTCCTCCTCCTCCTCCTCCTCCTCCTCCTCCTCCTCCTCCTCCGCCTCCTCCCTCCTCCTCCTCCTCCTCCTCCTCCTCCCCCTCCTCCTCCTCCTCTCTCCTCCCCTCCTCCTCCTCCCTCTCCTCCTCCTCGTCCTCGTCCTCCTCCTCCCCCGCCTCCTCCTCCTCCCCCTCCTCATCCTCCTCGTCCTCGTCCTCGTCGTCCTTCTCCTCCTCTTCGTCCTCGTCCTCCTCCTCCCCTCCTCCTCCGAAATCGGCCGATGTCGAACGATGTTCGGGGGGCGCGTAATGGGGGGCGATATACTGGGGGCAGCGAGGGCAGAAAAGAAGCCCTTCAGGGCCCCTCAATGGGGCCCTCTCGGGCCCAGATGGGGGCCTCTATAGGGGCCGAGAAGTGCACCTGTCCCCCCCCCCCCATTGTTGAGCCCCCCCCCCACTTAGCGACGCCCAAGCGATGTTCGAGACCCAGGAGACGGGGGTCAACGGAGACGGGGGTCGGTCAGAGCGCCGGATCTGGCAGAATCCTTCAGAGCCAGGGGTGCACTGACCTGGGCCTGCGCCCAGGACCTTGCAGGATCCTGCGGAGCCCGACCGACCCGAGTCTGCATCGACCCGGGCCCGCAGGTCCACGAGGCCTGCGGCATCCCCGAGCGAGCCACGACCCGCTCCAGGGTGGCAGCCGCCCGCGCGGTGCCAGAAGATAGCCGATGCCGACGCCCCCGCGGCGCGCACCTGCCGCAGGACGCCCCCCGCCTGCAGAGTGCCCCGACGCGCCCCGCCCCGCCATGGCCCGCGCCACCCTCTGCGCGGCCTCGGCCCTCTGCCTGCTCGCGGCCGCGGCCGGCATCTCCCTCTCCGACGCCCACGCCGGCCTCAAGGTTCGGGGGTGGACAGAACCCCCAACAGTGACACGTCGATTCGTGAATTGCCCGTTTTTCGGTTCTCGAGGGGGCGCCGTGGCCGCTAGGTTCCAGGCTTGCGCCCGCCAGGTTTGGGCCTCGGGTCGTTTTCACTAAACCACGTTTTACTAAAGGGGGGTCTGTCCATCCCCGAAAGGTCGACGCGGACCGCGCCGGCGTCGAGAGCGAGGCCCTGCGGCAGCAGGCCGCCGCGGAGCACCTCCTGTCGCTGCGCAGCAGGGCCGAGAGGGGCCGGCAGGGGGCGGCCCGGTACCGCATCGGCAGGGACCGCACAGGCCGGCACGGAGGAGAGGGCTGCTCCCTTTGACCCACCGGGCGCGTGCCACTGCTCGAAAGGGCGCCTATGCTCGCAAGCGTCCGAAGAACACAGGCCTGCTTTGATTCAGGAGGGGAAGAAACACACAGACACAATTGATCGTCGATCCCCAGGAAAATATAGGAAAATATGGGAAGTGGGCGGGAAGACAAAAACCCAGAAAATATGGGGAACATTTTTATTTGTGTGTATTTATTTGTGTGTCCCAGGGCCATTTCATTTGATGTAATTTCTCGTGGATCCCCCGTGGGGGATGCAGGCCATTGGCGAGCAGTCACTTTGCGAGTCGTGGAACGCGCTCGTCTATTGGCCCCCCGCCCTCCGCGCCTTCCGCGCGGCGGGCACCGCGGCGCGGCCGCCGCGGTCGCACGGGCGACCGCTGCCGCTGCGGCCGCAACGGGGGGCCGCCGCGGCCAAGCCGCAGTGGAGCTTGCCGCGCGGAGGGAGCGGAAGGCGTAGGTCGATTGTTGAGGGAAAGGGGTTCTGAGTTCATTCGCTGCTAGCGGCCTCCCGGGGCCCTCTCACAGGCCGCGGAGCCGTTGGAAAACCGCTCGGGGTGACCACTATGTCCCGAGGAAGGGCCCCGGGGTCTCCATGCAGGTGCCTACATCGCACAGGACCTGGAGCGCTCCGCAACCATGGAGAAGAAGAGCGTCCTGGCAGTCATCTCCCACTTTGTTCCTGGCAAGGCCGGCGGGGAGGCCCGCCGCAACGCCGCCCTCCACGAGACGTTGACGGCCATGCGCGAGTGGCCAAGGGTCGACCTGACGGTCTATGTGCTGACCAACAAGATCGTCGACAGCGTGAAGCACATGGTGAAGGACCAGATCCTCGTCTCGGAGGAGTCGGAGGTGGACAGACCTCCTGCCCTGACACGTCGATTGAGGAATTGGCCGTTTTCGGTTTGCGAGTGGGCGTCGCGGCCGTCATTTTTGCGGGTCCAGGTCCGTCGGTTTTGGTCCCAGGCTGTTTTCACTAAGGGGAGGTTTACTAAAGGGAGGTTTGTCCACCGCCGAAGGAGCCTGTCTGCAGCGAGACGTGGAAACACAAGTTTTGTGTGCCCTGGGAGGCCATCCGCGTGCTCCGCAGCGCCAGCACGGGAGACAAGCCGACGACCAAGCTGGGCTACGAGCTGATGGCGGAGCCAGTGTACGACGCATACATCTACACCGAGTCCGACATCATCATTCCCGAGACGACGTTCCATTTCTGGCGGTACCACGTGGACACCCTTTACAGGAGGGGGTATCTGTTGCTCCCCATGCGCGCAGAGGACAAGATCCTGACAAAGGATGTCATCGCCGTCGACTGCTTCACCGAGGATTGTGTGAACAAGACCGAGGTGCTCAGGGACGACGACGAGAGCGCCGTCGCGCTCTACTCGACAAGCAGGGACCGCCACTACCTTCGGCCATTCAACCCGTACTCAGGTTGTTTCATGATGAGCAATCTCCAGTTCAAGGATTACTTGGAGAGCCCCATGTGGGACTACCACAAGATCTGGCAGCACAAGTACAGTCCCTGGGGGGTCCGCGAGACCGCCGCCAGCGGGCTGCTGTGGGCACCCGGCTTCGGCAAGGAAACGGGTCTGACGCATTTGAAGATGCGGGTCTGGCACCAGATCCCGATGAACGGCGTTGGCAAGGGTGACCCCAAGGCCAGGATCGATCCCTCTCGCTTCCACAGGGTGGACGAGTACCATGACAAGGTATCTGAGTGCTTGAACGGCACTCTGCAGTGCGGCCAACTCACGCCGCTCAGGCACTTGTAAGATGGCATATCTGCTCAAGTCGCCGAAGGCGCTGTTCTGACGCTGTCACAGACCTTTGGATCATCGCGTATCCTCTGGACGCGGTTGATACTGAACAAACAGATACTTAAGGTTTCTGGCGTTTACAGTACACATGTTACGTGTTGGCCGCGCGCGCGGAGGATGTGGGAACATTGAGAGCAAGAAGACCAGCAGTAAGGAATAGGAGGAGGTTTAAGAGGGAGAGGATCGGAGGAATATGAGCATGGAGAGGTACGCTGATAATGACACGGAGTAGGATGAGGATGATGATGCTGTTGATGCTGATGATGAATCTGAGTATGATGTTGGTGATGATGATATGATGCTGATGATGATCATGATGATGGCGATGCTGATGATGATTATCATGTGTTTTTCTTCTGCGCAGTAGGCCCCTATAAGACGATAGCGTTGCTGACGATGATGCTGCTGATGATGATGATGATCATGATGATGCTACTGATGATGATGACGATGATGATGATGATGGTAAGGATAATGATGATGGTGATGATGATGATGATGGTACTGACAATGCTGCTGCTGATAATGATGATGATGGTAATGCAAATGATGATGATGATGATGAGGGGGAGGACGACGACGACGATGATGATGAGGGTTAGGACGAGGATGAGGATGACGACGAGGATTAGCAGGAGGACGATGATGATGCTGCTGCTGATGATGATGACCTGATGAGGATGATCATGATGATGATGGTGATGATGAGTATGAGATGTGTTCATTTTGCGCCGTGAGCACCTCCATGATAATGGCGGTGCTGATGATTAGGATGTTGATGATGATGGTGATCATGATGCTGATCATGATAAACATGATGATGATGCTGATGATGATGGTAAGGATGGTGATGATGGTGCTGATGATGATGTTACTGATGATATTGATGTTGATGTTGATGATGATGATGTTGACGGCAATGCTAGTTATGATGGGAACGATGGTGAGGGCGATGATGATGATGATGATTATGATGAGATTGATGATGAGGATGATGGTGATGGTGATGAGGGTTAGGACGAGGATGAGGACGAGGATTAGCAGGGGGACGATGGATTTGATGATGGTGATGATACAGACGACGCAGATAACCATGACGACGGCGATGACCATGACGATGACGATCATGGGTATGCTGATGATGATGTTGACGATGCTGATGTTGGTGATGATGGTTGCGATGGTGATGATGATGATCATGCTGAGGAGGAGGAGGAGGAGAAGGAACAGAGAGAGGAGGAGGATACTTATTCGGAGGATGACGAGGGAGATGATGATGATGCTCATCATCATGATGTTGATTTTGATGATGCTGTTGATGATGATTGTGAAAGCAATGGTGATGACAGTGGTGAAGTGATGATGACGACGATTATGCTGATGATTATGCTGATGTTGTTGTTGATGCTGGTGATGATAAAGCTAACGCTGATCATCTTGATCATGATCATGATCACGATCATGTATAGTGTGTCGATATGAGACGTGGGTAGCCAATTTGCCCAAACCCAAACAAAGTACGATAGATGCGCATGACGCATTGCGTGAGCTATTCCCTTTGGCATATTTGGACGCGGAAGGTGTTGTATGTTGGGGACTCGTGGAGTGGGAAGGGATAACCTTACAACGTCATAGGGTGAGCGTATAGCGCTTGCGCCCCCCACGCGGCCTCCCTGGGAGGGTAAACGTTGTATGTCCATTGCTTCAGGTAGCCAGTGAGGCCAAGCTGTACCAAACTGTAGTAGATCTCAGCGCATGCGTATAGTTCTGACAGTTCCATGCGGGTGCCCTGAGCAGTGGAATTGGGTGGACTGCTGTATTTCCCGACCATCTTGTGGTGCTGGGCCCTCGCTCTTGAAGAGACAGTCTCCGCGTCTCCTCTGTCTCTCAGCTCCCCTCCTCCTCTTCTCCTCCTCCCCCTCCTCCCTCCTCCCGTCCCCCCCCCTCCGCTTTGGCCCACCCCTCACACGTTTCTTGGCCCCATAGGGAGCTCCACCGAAGGCCCCAGTGGCATGGTTCGCATGCCGCCCCCCCCCCTCCACTTTGGCACACTCCTCACACGCTTCGTGGTCTCATAACGAGTGCTACCGAAGGACCCAATGGCATGGTTCTCATGCGGCCCCGCCTTCTCTTTGGCACACCCCGCACACGGTTCGTGGCCCCACATCGAGCTCCACCGACGGCCCCAGTGGCGTGGATCTCATGACGCTGTGCCCAGACAAAAAGTGTCCACACCCATGGCGGAAAGGCGATGCAACACGATAACAACCACAATTGCGAAATGCCATTACTTCGCACCCCTACCCCCCGAGCCCAAAGTTGAAGTGTCCACATTTTGTCCCTGGCTTTTTGCCTACCGCCTAAACCCGTCAACTTTGAATTTAGGGGAAGGGGGTATACATGTTGGTCCGACGTACTTTAATGAGGCAAGGTCGTAGCGAAACACGTGTGGACACTTTTAGTCCACCCACCGTCCCACTTCTCTTTGGCACACCACTCACACGTTTGGTGGCTCCATGGGGAGCTCCAACGGAGGCCCTAGTGGCATGGTTCGCACCCCCCGTCCAAGTTGGCACACCCCTCACACGTTTCGTGGCCCCACAGGGAGTTGCACCCCCTTTCGATTTTGGCACACCCCTCACTCGCTTCATGGCCCCAGAGGGAGCTCCACCGGAGGCCCTTGTGGCATGCTCCCACTCCACTGTGGCACACACCTCACACGTTTCGTGGCCTCATAAGGGGGCTCCACCGAAGGCCACGGTGGCATGGTTCGCATGCCGACCCCCTCCATTTTGGCACACGCCTCGTGAACGCATAGGGAGCTCCATTGAAGGCCCCAGTAGCATGGTTCGCATGCCGCTCCCCCTCCACTTTGACACACGCCTCACACGTTTCGTGGCCCCATCAGGAACTCCACCGAAGGCCCAAGTGGCATGGCTCGCATGCCACCCCCCTTCACTTTGGCACACTCCTCACACGTTCCGTGGACCCATAGGGAGCTCTACCGAAGGCCTTAGTGCAATGGTTCGCATGCCGCTCCCACTCCTCTTTGGCACACCCCGCACACGGTTCGTGGCCCCACAGCGAGCTCCACCGAAGCCCCCAGTAGCATGGTTCGCATGCCGCCCCCCTCATGTTGGCACACCCCTCACACGTTTCGTGGCCCCACAGGGAGCTCCATCGAAGGCCCTTGTGGCAAGGTTCGCATGCCGCTCCCACTCCTCTTTGGCACACTCCTCACACGTTCCGTGGACCCATAGGGAGCTCTACCGAAGGCCTTAGTGTAATGGTTCGCATGCCGCTCCCACTCCTCTTTGGCACACCCCGCACACGGTTCGTGGCCCCACAGCGAGCTCCACCGAAGCCCCCAGTAGCATGGTTCGCATGCCGCCCCCCTCATGTTGGCACACCCCTCACACGTTTCGTGGCCCCACAGGGAGCTCCATCGAAGGCCCTTGTGGCAAGGTTCGCATGCCGCTCCCACTCCTCTTTGGCACACTCCTCACACGTTCCGTGGACCCATAGGGAGCTCTACCGAAGGCCTTAGTGTAATGGTTCGCATGCCGCTCCCACTCCTCTTTGGCACACCCCGCACACGGTTCGTGGCCCCACAGCGAGCTCCACCGAAGCCCCCAGTAGCATGGTTCGCATGCCGCCCCCCTCATGTTGGCACACCCCTCACACGTTTCGTGGCCCCACAGGGAGCTCCATCGAAGGCCCTTGTGGCAAGGTTCGCATGCCGCTCCCACTCCTCTTTGGCACACCCCTCACACGTCTCGTGGCCCCATAGGGAGATCCACTGAAGACCCCAGTGGCATGGTTCGCATGCCACCCCCAGTCCATTTTGGCACACCCCTTCTACGGTTCGCAACTCAGGGAGCTCCACCGAAGCCCCAGCGACAAGAATTGCACGCCGCCCCCCTCCACTTTGGCACACCCCGCATACGATTGGTGGCCCGATGGGGAGCTCCACCGAAGGCCCCAGCGGCAGTGCCCATAGGGATCTCCACCGAAGGCAGTTCTCACAACGGCGGTATTCACAACTGCATATAGCTGGGCCCTTCGCCAAGATAAATTGGGGGCTCATTGGGTGCGCGAGAGGGGGAGGAAGAGTCGGAGGAGCAGGACGGGCCAAATGGCCGAGGTCTTGCCGCCGCATTCGCTGGCCAACGATTCCCCTCATCCCAGTAAGCCAAATGGCATGCGCACAGCGCGGGGGATCCCGCGCGCCCCCACCCCATGCCCTGGCTGGTGGGCGGGGCTTCTGGACATGGACTACCACCTCGGGGCTTGTCGCCGTGGTGGTGGCGCGATGGCTCGTTCTTCTTCCCCTCCTCCCGTTCTAGGGGGGGAGGGGAGGCGGAGGACATCCCACCACCCTCCCCCCTTTGAAAAACAGGGCCCCGCCTCTTTCCCCCTGGCGGTGGACGAGCGGGGGTCGCGCTCTGGCGCATGGTGGTGTTAGGGGTAGGGGGTAGGGTGTCGGGGTCAGGGTGTTGGGGTCAGGGCGTTAGGGTGAAAGTGGTGGGTGTCAGGGTGTTCTGGTGTCAGGGGTGCCGTCAGATTGCGAGGGTTAAGGTGTTTCGGGCGGGGGTAAATGTGAGCGCGTGCTGGTTAGAGGCTCGTGTTCAGCCTTCGGGTGAGGGCGTCCGTGTTAAGAGTGTACGAATGAGAGTGAGGGTGTTAGGGTTATGTTGGTTTTGGTGCCGCGGTGTAGGGGATGAAAGGGGTGGGGTGTGTGCGTGTGTGTGGTGTGCGTGTGTTCCGGATTCGTGTTTAGGTTCTGAGTGATTCGAATAGGGTGTAGGATTAGGGTGTGACGGTCAGGATGTTAGGACTAGGAGTAGGGTATCTTGTGTTAGGGTTTGGGTGTCAACGTCATGGTTCGATTTTAGGGTTCGGCTTGGGTGATATATTCGGATGTTGGGCTTCGGGTGTTAGGGCTATGGCTTCTGCTTAGAGTTAGTGTGTGATGGCCGAGGTGCTGTCGGTGTTCAGGGTAGGGGCAGTGGTCCGGTCTTAAGTCTAGGATGGTTGGGTTACGGTGTGGTGAGAGCATGTTCGGGTCAGGATGTTAGGCTTAGGGTCTTAGGGCGAGGTCGTTAGGGTTGAGTTCGCAAGGGTTACTGAGGGGTCAGTGCTTAAGGCTTGGGTGTTCGTTTTAGGGTGTTATGGTTCGGATGTTGCTTTTTTGTTTAGTTTGTTCCGTTTGGGTGTTAGGGTTAGTTCGATTGTTGTTGGATGATTGTGTCTGGATTCGGGTGTCAGGGTCATGGTTATAGCGTATGGTTAGGGCATTCGGGTGCAAGGGTTCGTGTGTTATTTTGTTGGCGTTACGCGCACGATGATATGTTTAGGGCGTTCTGGCGCAAGGGTGTAAGTGTCATGGCGTCAGGGTTCGGGTGTTAGGGTCATGGTTCGAGATCAGGGTTAGCTTGCCATGATTATGGTCTTGGGTTTCGAGCCTGGGTGGCAATGTCAGGGTGTTAGGGTTTGGGTGTGAGGGCTGTGGTGGCTGCACAGCGGTCTAGGGTGTAGGGCCAGACTGGTGGATTAGTGTGTTAAGATGATGGTAAGAGTGTTCAGGCTAGGGTCTTAGAGGCAGAAATCCGGCGTTATGCTCAGGGTGTTCGATTCAGGGAGTTCTGGTGGCAGGGTTTGCTTTTGCCGTATTAGAGCGGGGTGTTCGGTTCAAGCTGTGGGGGATTAGAGAGATCTGGTGAAAAGTTGTAGGGCGAGGGTCAGGGTGTTAGGGCTAGGATGTCAGGGTGAGCGTGGCGCGGCTGGGGTCAAGGTACCAGGACTAGGCTGGTAGGGGTTCAGGGGTAGGGCTAGTCTTTTGAATTAGGGCGTAAGGTTCAGTCTTAGGCTTCGGGCTAGGGTGGTACGAGTGCGGTCAGGATTTCAAGGCTCGGGCGGCACGGTGGCAGGGGTAGGGCTCTGGAGCAGAGGGGGGGTGCAGCCCCCCACCCCCCTTTGGGGCAAGGCGGGGGGCTTCAGAGCCCCATGGCCCTCAGGCGAACTGCGGGGGTTCGGCCCTTCGCCCTGTGGCAAGGGGGGGGGATGGGGTCCGGGGCGATGGCCATCGGCGACGGGAGGTGGGTCCTTGGACGGCGGACCGTGGAGAGAGGGGAGGGGGGCGGGTGCAAAGCAGCATTCCCTCGTGAATTAGCGGCGTGCCCTCGTAGTGGCCTGGCATCGCTCGGACGTGTGCATTTTTTCTCGGCGAGAACCATCGAGGAGCATCCTTGATCATTTGGCGAAAAAACCACGCACGACACCGAACAAAAACACAGGGAATGGACGTCCGAGCGATGGCGAGGTGTTGGGACTTGTGGTATGCGTGAGGGGAAAGGGCAGGAAGGAGAGGAGGCCAGCGCGAGCTGCATCGGGGTGCAAGCATGAGGGGCGAACTTCTGCGAGAGAAGGTGGGGGGACGGCGAGCAGGGGGACGGGGCAGGATGCGGAGGGGGTCGAAGGACGACGTGGCAGAGGCGCGCTCTTCGGGGCTAAGGTTCCCTGGGCTGGGCGCTGGGCCCCCCTCGTCCCGCCACAGGATCGGGGAGAGTCCAGCGCCGATCCGCGACATCTGAGCGGGCCTCCGAGAGTTCGTGCTCTGCAGCCTCTTGGGAGGAGAGGGCCGGGCGGGGGCAGGACGAGGAGGAATCCGCTCCAGAGCGTTCCAGGGCGCTGTGGGAGACCCGCCGATTCTTAGGGCCTCTCGGTGTAGACCGTTCCGATGTTTCGATTCTGCCTTCGGCTTTCCCCGTGATGGTCCTTTTCTTCTTCTTCCTCCTCCTTCTTCTCGTACGTTTTCCTCCGGTTCCTCCTCCTATTTATTCCTGTTCCTCGTACTTTTCCACGTCCTTCTCCGCCTTCTCCTCCCTCCAACCCCTCCTACGACGACGACGGCGGCGAGGAGGAGGAGGAGGAGGAGGAGGAGGAGCAGGAGGAGGAGGAGGAGGAGGAGGAGGAGGGAGGAGGGATGGCGGTGAGAAGGAGGAGGAGGAGGAGGAGGAGAAGGAGGAGGAGGAGGAGGAGGATGGGTGGTGAGCTCGCTGACCCCGCCCCGCTCTCCTGTCGAGGGCAAGTGCTCCTGGCGCTGGCCCACCTGCACGAGGCGCACCACGTGGTGTACCGCGACATGAAGCCGGAGAACGTGCTGCTTCATCTGGACAGGCCAGGCGGGGACGGCTCGTGGCTCGAGGATCGAACTCGAGCAAGGGATTGGTGAGGGGGGCCCTCTGGCCGCTCCTTTCGTTGCCGTCGGAAGGATTTTCGTCGCCACGGCTGGGTTTCGATCGGAATTCAGGGCAGAACGCACCCCTGGAAAGATCCAGGGGTCGTTCGAAGGAGGGGGAGGAGGAGCAGCGTTCGAATGAGGAATAGGACCTAGACGAGGTGTCTCCACTTGTTCGCTCTCTCTCTCTCTCTCGTGCTCTTTCTCTTTTCCTTTGTGTTGTTTCTCTATGTGTGTCTCTCTCTCTCTCTCTCTCTCTCTCTTTGTCTCTCTTTCTCCTCTGCTTTCTCTCTCTATCTCTCTATCTCTATACATCAGGAATACATGTTTCTGTATGCCCCTCTGTACGTGGGTACATGTACAGGCGCGTATACCTACAATCATCTCTACGCATATGCGTTCGCCAAATGCGTGACCGTGATGCCGGGCACCTCGGGTTGTGAGTGACTTGGTCCGTAGGGGGTGTTCGTTTGACAGCGGCTGGCCCACTGGCGGCGCGCTGCGAGCCCTCGTCGCCCCGTCATCTCTGTCAACGTGCCGCTGCCCGCTCTCCGGTGGACCAGTGGCGCGCCCAGGTTACGAGTGATATGCGTACTGTCTGACATAACTGTCTACACACATGTAGTATCGCAATATGTCTTTCTCGCTCTCTCTCTCTCTCGCTCTCTCTATCTCTCTTCTTATAGTTGTTTATGTACTATTTTCTCTCTCTCTCTCTCTCGCCCTCTCTCTCTCTATATATATATCGCATGATGTATATCCCTCTTTATCTCTCGTTTTTTGTTGCTCCATCTGTTGCTCCATCTCTCTCGCTCTCTCTCTCTCTCTCTCTTTCTTTCTCGTTCTCTCTCTTTTTTTCTAGTTTCGGCCCGAGTTCCAGCAGGAACGGAACGCGGACAGGACACGAAACCTTCCGCGCTTTCCACCTGGGTAAGACCGTAACCAGGGCCTGGGGCCGATTCGTGTCATTGCCCCCCCTCTACCTTCCGCCGCAATGGCCTGCGCCGCCGCGCTGGTGTTCGCACCACGCGTGGTGACCCCGCCACTGCCCACGCCCTCAGCTGCGAGACGGGCAGGACTCCGGAGGGGGGCAACCAGCTTTCACGCGGCACGGCCATTTCCACGACAGCCGCGCGTTGAGCAACATATGCGCACTGTTCATCACAACATATGATTACTCTTCCTGCGCTCCCGTCCTGGATAAGCTGGCCCTTCTTGCCCCACCTCACGCCCCTCCCACTCGTTGGCGCGTTCTTCAAGATCTCCGAGACGACGTGCAGCGCTTCCTGGGTGAATTGCACGCGCTGCGCACTCTTGTTCATCCACTAGGCCGCCGCGCCGCTACAGCGGCCAACCCGGCCCCGAAGACCAACAGCAGCAGCCCGTTGCACCTCATTTTCCGCGCCCTGTCGCTCTTCCACAGCACCCCCTGGTTACGTCGACGCGGCCGCCTTCGGCATCCACGATGGCATCGGCAAGCTCTGCGCGCGCTTCGCCGCGATCCCCGGGGTCTTCGGCAGCCTGTTCTGCTCCGTCGGCACGGCGTTGCTCTCCGCGGTCTTCCAGGTCCTGGGCCTCGTCTCTCGGGCCTCGGGGCTTCCCCTTGGCCGCCGCGCCACCTTGGTGGCCAGCCGGACCCTCCTGTTCTTCGGCAATAACCTCTCTTGCATCGGGGGCGCCCTCGGCATGGCGCGGCGGGCCCTGCACTCCCCAAGCGGGCCGCGCTCGCCCTGCACGCGGTCGGCATGCAGTTCGTCGCTCCCTTCGTCAAGGGCGCGACCCCGCCCGCCACCGCAGGCCCTGCGATCGCAGTCCAGGGCGAGCAGCGCCCGCCCTCGGGCCGTGCGCCCGCGGGCCACGGCCCGCGCGTGGCCGCCCGCCGCGTGCTCGCAGGTCGTGGCTCGGGCCAACGCGCACCGCCGCCACCGGTGCCCCACCGACCACGATCCACGCATTCACTTACTCACTGCGCGCGCTACCGAGGCCGCGACCCCGCCGTCGTCGCCCGCGCCCGCGCCGCAAACCGCCGCCCGGCGACCTGGGCCCCGCCCCGCGCCGCGGACGTGGGGCGCGCGCGCCAAGACGCGCCGCGCACCGCCCTCAAGGGCCCCTGGGGCGGCCTTGCCCCCGCGACCCCTGCCGACCCAAACCTCGGGATGCCACTGTCCAGGGCCAGGGGCGCAACCCAATAAACGGCATCCGCGGCGTCTTCCGAGGCCGATCCGGCAAAGCCGACCAGCGCTGGATCGCCGCGCTTGCCGACGGGTGCGCCGCCCACCTGTTCCCCGCCAGTCTGATCGTCGCCGCCCCGGCGCCGCGCCTCGGGGCCCCGCCCCTCGCCGCGCGCGCCCCCCCCGAGGTCCCCGCCCAGCGACCCCCCCCTCGCCCCCCCCCCCCCCCCCCCGGCGCCTGCGCGCGCGGCGCGGCAGCGGGGGCGAG